TATACAACCATCCTCAAAAGTAGCTCGGTCGGGTTAAATACAAAGTTGATATACAAGGTTGATGTGTGCTCTTGCAAGAGTGGATTTGAATTGCTTTACAGAGTCTACCCTTACAACATTATCTGGCAATGCATTCCAATCATTTACCTAACGAATTTAAGCATACTTCCTGAATATTATTATTGAAGCGCTGCTTACAAATGTTTAACGAATGACCACGCGTTTGTGAAGCAGTATTAAGTAGAAAAAAAAACATTCAATAGGAAAATCCTCTAATCCTTCCATAATTTTCAATTTTTCTGAATTCATTGATGAAGAGTAACTTTCTGCAATAATGACGGATCATGCATGCCTTACTAATTGATAAGACGAACAGGGTGGACAAGTTCATAATATGTTTTACAACTTTGCTGTAATGTATAAGGTTTGTGTTCAGCCTTGTATAATATCTTTAAGACAATCAAATGGATGATTGTCCATATTTTGAATGAAATTGTGAAATAGAAAAACTGAAACCGTTTGAAAGATAAATGCACATAAATTATTTGACAGTATGTTAAAATATATTCTTTTGTACAACATCTTACTTATGAAGTAGGTGCTTTATCTTGACGCCTTTGTAATTTTATACACAATATATATATATATATATATATATATATATATACATAAGGTATATATATGTGTGTATATATATAGATATAGATATAGTATATAGGCCTATATGCAGTATATGTATGTGTGTATGTATACGGTTTGCAGTCTGCGCTGATGAATGCTCTTTAAATGTATTTATTTTTTTTAATATCCTCCTATTTCAGTATTTTATACGGATATAGCTTAATCTTGAAGCTTCTATAACAAAACCGTTATTTTGCAATGTAATACCGTTAATGCAGAGTTGGATATTTGTAATAATCGTTTACTTAATGTGGGTAGATACATTTTTGTCTTCAATACATACAGTATTTAAAAAGGCAGTTTGATGCAAACATGTTGAATATTTACTACTTGATGTACATAATAAATGTGTCATCAAAGCATTTATTTTTAGGCCAATCAATATAATATTGCTGACCTATTTATGATTGTATACGTATTCATGAGCATCACTGATAGGTCAGCATTCCCAGGTAACATTTTATTTGCATATCATTATTCTTGATAAATTATAGACACTCGTACATAGAAATCGATTAGTATGATATTCGTGCAATCATTCTTAATTTTTTTGTCTTCAAAATTGACAATGTCCATAGGTCTGATGTATTTTATCAACCAGGTCAAATTGCTATTATTTTATGTAAATTAGCAACTTGCCATACTGAAAATAATTTATTAAATTCTAGGTATTTCCAAATTACTGAAGTTGGCAAATGTGGTACCAATCAATAATAGAGCCGGTGATATATATTTTATTACGCGCATTGGTCGGGAAAATGCTTTGAATCTATAGTGTGCAACCATCTTGTCAGTCATATAAGAGATCACGATCTGATATCATCTCATTAGTTGATTTTACATCCGGGATGTTGCAAGAGCGCGCAATCGTTCGTCTTGGCTCATTCTAGATCCCCTCTTCCAATCGATGCACCTAGATTTAGAAAATCTTTCAACAGTAGGCCTAACCATCAGCTCGGGATCTGTTACAATGTCTTGAAATGAATTTCATCTTGGTTTAAAATCGCTGTCAGAAAGTCAGTTTCAATGAGGTTCTTTAGACCTTTGTTCTTTTTATATGGGGGTTGGGGTGGTTTAAAAGTTGTGTTTTATATACCATATTCTGTTTAATATTTTCATCCTAGACATTCCTTAAATCGTATCATGTACTCTCTTACAATGCTGACGACACCATGGGTTTACAGAACCCGGTACGATTTCTGTCGACGGAATTTCTCTGCGAAATGATCCTAAAAGCGATATACGGCACTCATGCAGTGTCGTAAATAATTAGTTACCTTCATATGCAAGAAGTGTAGGATGCGTATTACCAGATCTTAAACGTTAAATAATGCAATTGAGTATACTGTTGTTCAATATATGTTTGAATTTGAATTCTTTCGATCAGAAAGTTACAGTATTTGGCAAAATGAGTAATTTGTGTTTCAATTACAAAAAGAGTAGGCCTATAGGCCTACCTCCATGGTTTAAGGTATCGTTTGAAATTAGCTTTTACATTGTAGGCCGTAAGTTATTTGATTCAAAGTGACCATTGCATCCTATTATGACAAATTTAAATATAAATGACGTCACACAGCATTTGACCAATACGAAGTCAGTCTAATAAACAGCACACAATGAGCAATCGTTTATAATGAAATAAACGGTGACACTGGAACGAACAGAAGAAATAATGAAAACTACTATATGGTTATTAGGAGAGGCTGTTTTCGAAGATATTTTTAATCTGTGTTAATGAGAAGATAAAGAATTGATTTGCAATTTAGTTTTCTAATAATTGCCACCGTTGGTATGTACATTCGTGAGGATTGCTTCATCATGCTGATTGCTGAGGCTCTCATATGAGTTCATGAACATTCTTATATATTCGGAAACACTTGGTTTTCAACAGTTTGCTTATTTTTCATAAACTATGTTCGGCATTCCAACTTTCAACCGCTTAAACGGTATAGGCCTAATAGAACGAAAAAAACACTTTTGGGACGCGCAATTATAAGGCACTGAACAAAACGCGGAGTTATTGATGATTACTTTCATGTTCATACCCGCATTACGATGAGTGGCTTACGGCGATTAAGCGAGATAGTGGGCATTGCAAGGCGAACATACATCGGAGGTTTTCAAACTCGAATCGAAGCAGAGGAAGCAATGCAACTGCATTCCTCGGCTAGGCCTTCAAATACAACTTCGGAAATATCCATGGAGATGATACAGGGTTGGAACGACAAATTAAGCGATGCTTATATTCTAAAAGTAATGTATCTATAATTTCTTTTAATTGAATGTACTGTATGTGATGCATGTTATAGAGATCTACAGTTACAGTTAGGCCTACCGTATAATATAGCAATGCGCGCTTTGTATAATACTTAGTATGATTTAAAACGGATAGTATAGAAAGAGGTACTTGGCCTTTCGTGATTTTAAATACATTGTATATAACAAGACCGTACCCGTGGGCATATCGAAAATCGTATAAAATGATACAATAATATATTGTAATGTTCTTCCTAGACCCTCAAAATTAGAGTATATTGTAACCTATCATACTACCCCCTTATTACCTTCCCATTGTTTTTATGCCTATATAAGCTTTAAAAGTCATATCAGAATATTGGTTTTACAGTTTTATAGACTAGAACGAATATTATATGATTTCATTGCATTACCAAGGCGGCTAGGCCGATTGTATCCATTTCCTATTCTTAGACCTTTAATATTATATACGGTAGTCCACTAAAGCAGTATCCGTAAACTATATTCCAAGTCTGATTGAAATTATTTGTGCATTAACCCTAAAATAGAGTTCAAAACTATGATCGTATCGTTGCCTTCAGACTCAACAAAACGTATTTGATCAGATCAGATTAATTTTTAATGTATTTGGAAGTGGGGTAATTAAGTGACGATTCACTGATGTCAGATCACGTTGTATCGTGAGTCGAAGAATAGTCTGATCCATGAAAGAAGATGGTCTGACGACACCTAATAGTTCAATGATAAGGGCATGGCTTTAAAACTCATGTACTAACAAGTAAATATTTGCCCGGAGTTTGATTAAGTACCTTAAAATATTTAAAGTAGAAATAATTTAAAAACAATCTGACACCGTGAATGCCTTAAAAATGTTAAATTGCTTTTACGCGTGGCAGGACCATCTTCTATACTACGATGTTTATCTATGGAAGAGGTATACAATATATTAATCAAACCTGCTCAGACGTGCAGTGACGTGTTATAATCATGGCAGTTTTTGATTTTCCGGAGCATGAAATTGTATTACGCCTGTGTTTGATTACAACCTGTATTACTACTAATACTGATGAAGCCTAGTGAAGAGCTACTATTTTACAAAGTCGGTATGGTTAAGTGAATTTATTTTAAATCCATAAACACTCGAGTGTTATTTGACCATTGTGATTTTACAAACGAAGATTTAGTTCTTTGTGTTCAAGGTCAGGACCCATCATTGTTACATCCGAGCCGATACGCAGGCTTTCCGTTCGGTATAAATATGTCTTTTTGGTGAAGTTCTTCAGCCTTGTTTTTATATGTTCGTAGCTGTTTATTATCAGTCATACTACCAATTATACTTGGCTTTCATCATCGTTATGATAATTATAATATTTATCATCAGCAAACATCGTCATCGCATTCACACCATTATGTATAGATTTTGTTGTTAGCCTCGCTGTGATAAATTCGTGTTCTGTCTAACTATAGAAAGTCATACTACAACTTGGCTTTCACCGTCGTTATCCTCATCGTTATGGTGATTATCATCAGCATCATCATCAAAATTATCATCATAGGCCTACATATTTATTATCATCAACATCATCATCTTTATCATCATCAACATCACCACCGGCATGCCGAAGCCTCAGTGCAGTGGCATCTTTAGTGGTGAATTGAGCAGATAGGATTCACCGGTGCCATATGAATTTCGCTACCCCCTTCCCCACCCCCTTAGAAAACTGCCTTTCTGTATAACGTCTATATCGAAATATTTTTGAGTCTCCATGCTGAGTACTGAAATTTAAAGCTAACAGAGTCCTAGAAGATAGTGCGTATAACCTGTGGAGGCATTTGATAGAATAGAACTAAGGGCAAACATATCTCCGCTCCACACAATGATTATCATCTATTTTTAACACACATCTTCTCCCGAGGTGTTGATGACTAAGAGTATATCCAGAGCTTTGTATTGCCATAAAGAATTCTAAATGTGGGGAATATTAACCATCCGAGCAATCCAGTTTTATTCAATTCGTAATACACTTAATTTTTTTTTTTTTACTTTACTTCCATTTTTTAAGATTGCCGAAAAAGGGAATTACGATGAGTTTATGGAACTGTTTCACAGCAAGCCTGATCTTATCAACTTCAAGGATAAGCGTGGCGCCGGGGTGCTGCACCATTCCGTCAAGGGCAACAATGTCCACATTATGGAGTTTCTCATCGCTCAGGATGTTGGTAAGATCACTTGTTTATCTAACAATTAAACAGGTTTCTGGTTTAGGCCTAGCTGTGGTTAACAAAACTCATCTCCTTGTCGTTTTGGTTAGCGTAGTCATCAGGAGGCTCAGATGAAGATTAGACAGCAAAGTAATTGAAACGGTGATATACGTATTTCTCCATCTTACTCGACAATTCTTATACAGGATTCGTATTAACTAATTGACATTTTTAGTCGACAAGCTTAACCATTACCGTCGCTTCTTGTTTTACTTACAATTTTAAAGAAATGCAAACAACTACAGGATGGTTTATAACCAGGCCTATATATCATTACTGTCAATGATGTATTTCAAACGTTAAAGAATAATGATATAATATATAAATATATAATTAACTATAGCATTACCGCACGCCAGTTCAAAGTTAATGCCTATATGGCCCTATCTATTTACTTGATTCATAAATGGCATTTTGGGGATCCCGTTTTGGCGTTGTCGTTAACTTCTTACACTGATGGAGGATATAAACGCAAAACCCCAAGGTAATTGTATCCTGTTTGACCGTGCCTATGTGTTCAGGTTTCTGACGTGTTTACCATTTGCTTAGGTATTTGACATCATTATGTCAAATACCTAAACACATTTTATGCCCAAGATCCTAAGCACATTAGGCTATGCCTAAACATGTTGAGCTCTTTTAAACATGACACCAAAAACGGGACAACAATGTGTGGAGCTCTGCGTTTAAATCTTCCTCGCTATTTTTTACAGTGAAGATGAGGGCATATCATACTTATTTGCAATGCGTCCAAGAACTAGAGTTGTTTCACGAATGTGCAAGGGTGGGAAAGTTCAATTGCTTCTATATAATCAACTATTGCCCAGGATACCAGGGCGAAAAATGATTAAAGGATGAAATAATATCATCTATTTGGACGACTACACTGTACTCTTACGGTTTAATGGCTGTAGCTTCAGAAGAATTTGCCATAAACCTACCAGCGACGATGGGCGCCCAGGCTTCATCATATACCAGGGCCACAGTCGGTGGCTTCGATTCATAACATTGAACAAATTATGTTTCTAAACAACAAAATTAGTCATGCCTTGCAATAGAGTTTAGGATTATGCTGAATAATCTGTAAACAATAGAGAATGTTATTGAAGAAAGGTATTCTGCAAATGCATTTGTCATTGTAGAGTATGTCTTAATCGGATTTACGACGTGAAGGCGGATGTTATCGACAAATTTACAATTCATTGTCCGAAGAAGGTGTTTTATTAAAGTTGGACATTAATTCGAAACTAACTAATAACATTTAATATAATATTTTTATTATATTATTATATTATAATAATAAAGCACTAAATACTGATAATTGACGAACGGTTACATTTAGAAAATTAGCTAATAAGCATGCACTTACTGTAATTATATTTTTATTGTTATTTTGTGATTTAGCCTATGTATTATTAATAATTTTTCGTGAAAAATAATGTGTTGTCAAAATATTAAACATTATTTATCTTTAAAAATAATTTAGGCATTCTCATAACGCAAAAATGTAAAATAATCGGAATATTATTTTCTTTTAATTTTTATGATGTAAAATGCACGGCGGTTAATTACTCGAAATTAATATGGACCATTAGTATGCTGCTGCATACTAATGTATCTTTGTTTGAACACATATTGAAGAAGATATTTTACTTTTAGCTCAAACAGGTAACAGAATAGGTTTTTGGAGTAAGATTTGTTTCTTGAAAATATCGCAACATTGTGTGCTGTATTTTATCGATTACATAAAATCGGAAATAATGAATATCCATCATAACACGCGTAATTTAGTATTTTTTTGTTTTGAAATAATGATTTTAAGTATGTTATCGATATTAAGTTTTTTGTCACTCTATGTTTATTTTGTTTATTTAACTGCAATTTATAAACAATTGTTTCTAAATTTTCTATTGACTTTCCTGTATTTCTAAAAATACCGTATTGAAAGGTTGGTGTTAAAAAGATATATAGGACCGTTTTTCTATGATTAACTAACTACAATGCTAACATACTGTACAACAGGCGTGTAACAGACGATCATACCATTAAAATGTTCCTAGCACTCGTTTCCATTGACATGTAGCGGAAACATCTTAATTGCAGGTACTGCACAGGTTTTATCATTACCACATGAAAGTACGATGACGTGAATTTTGTCCAGCAGTTGTATAACGAACAAATCAATAACACAACATTACAAATGCGAAATATATAATATCATTTATCCAATAAACGTAATCCGGTGTCGTTAGCAATGAGCTGTATATTATGTCATTTTCAATTCACAGTAAGTACAGTTGCTAATTACAAAATGGAAGTGATGCTATAGATAATACTGAAATCCAAGTAACAATTGCTTTAAAATCTATGCATTTCTTAAGAGATTTTAATAGCTGTATTGTAAAAGCATTGGCATGTTTACAACTCTTCTTAACGGGGAGATTGTTGTATAGTAATCTGAAATCCCTGCCAATATTAAATTGGGACAATGTGATCCTTTATTCGTCGTCTTATATTAGTGAGTGGGGTTGGTTCCAGTCGTGGCAAAGATGTGCGTTCCAGATTATTTAAGCCTAAACACTTCGTATCACTATTTATATATGATACAGTAGTAAGAATGACAACAGAAATTCTATAATAAATTATTTAACTTGAATCGCATACATTCGTGTCGTATGTGTCGAGGCGTATGGTACCATCAGGAAACTATATTCTTGTATATAACGGGTCAATTGCTAGATTGTCAGTCAGAGGATATTGACTTTCTGCAAATAAAAACCTCGATCAGATAACATATTGTCATACCTTATTAACTGTACAAATTTACACAAAAAGCGTTCCCTAAGCTAACATACCGTAATTATTATGTAGAGTAAACGTTATAGACCTACTAATACTATTAATCATTGAAAGGATTTATTTACGATATATTTATTGTATGTGGTGGTCAGTAATGGTGATTGGATCTTCAAGATTAAAGATACATAAAATCGGCAGAATGATAATAATAATCAAGAGTCATTAATACAAATGGTAACGATAATAATGTTCTGGGACAGTTGGGATAGTCCCACACAATTTTTCTATTGGGTCCACAAAGAATGGGTCCACGTACATTTTTCTCATATTTTGTGTAAAATGGGTCGACTTTTAAGAAAATGAGTCCAGATTTCTAATATTTTGGGTAAAATGGGCAAATTTTTAAGAAAATGGGTCCAGATTAATCATACTTTTTGCGTAAAATGGGAGAACTTTTATGAAAATGGGTCCACATTATTTGAATTTACACTTAAAGTTTGTCAAATCTGATATTGCCCCACATTGTTTGAAAATCCTGGCTACGTCATTGACGCTCTAATTCTGAGACTCTAATTCAAGACGTCATTTTTTCAAAGAACCAAATAACATTCATGATCACTCTTTTAACAAAACACTAACCCTCTAATTGGAGACCGACCCCGAGACCACCCTAAATTTTCTGGTCCTAAAGTGGTCTCGCATTGGAGGGTGAACAGTATAATATTAATAATAATAATAATAATAATAATAATAATAATAATAATAATAATAATAATAATAATAATAATAATAATAATAATAATAATAATAATAATAATAATAATAATAATAATAATAACTATGAAACACATTAATCACTTGTACTAATCAGTTTAATGAATCTTGTCGAGGAAAAAATCTCTAATTAACCATGTCAAAATGATCTACTTAATTATGCTTTAGAAACTATCACGTTAAATATTATTCATTTTTTTTCCAGACGTCAATTTACCGGATTCGGCACTAAACACACCCCTGCATTGGGCAGCAACGCATGATAAACCTGAAGCCGCTCAATTACTGCTGGATCATGGCGCCAATCCAAACGCACTAAACGGAAACCACCAATCACCTCTTCACATTGGATGTGATAGAGAGTGTGTCAGGATTGTGGCTGTGAGTTCATATTCTGAATTAGAATTACAGTTTCCATTCTTTAGCATTGAGAAAATAGGTTAAATCAAAAGAGTGCTTTGCATGCTTATGTTGTAGGCATTAGTATTTTTTGTATAGGCATCGACAGCTATTATTAAGCAAATATGTTGAATCTGACCCACCACAGTCTGAACAATTAAGGTTGTTATAGGCCTAACTTTAGTGTAGTTGCATATTGACCAACAATTAAAAATTTAAATTGGTGAAATTGATTTAAAGTTGCTATACCTTAACATAGAGCAAATAGGTTCAATCTCACCAATCATTCTTAATTGAAATTAGCAAAACGTCTTTGTTTTGGCAGATTTCTTACACCTTATCTTTAAAAAAAAAAAGAAAAAAAGTTCACTTAATCTTTTATAAAAAAAAAAAAAAGGTTCACGCACCAATACCATATTAAGTATGTGCGTTTATAAATATACAAAATATCACAGGTGATGAACGAAACCATCAATCACCTCTTCACATTGGATGTGATAGAGAGTGTGTCAGGATTGTGGCTGTAAGTTCATATTCTGAATTAGAATTACAGTTTCCATTCTTTAGCATTGAGAAAATAGGTTAAATCAGAAGAGTGCTTTGCATGCTTATGTTGTAGGCATTAGTATTTTTTGTATAGGCATCGACAGCTATTATTAAGCAAATATGTTGAATCTGACCCACCACAGTCTGAACAATTAAGGTTGTTATAGGCCTAACTTTAGTGTAGTTGCATATTGACCAACAATTAAAAATTTAAATTGGTGAAATTGATTTAAAGTTGCTATACCTTAACATAGAGCAAATAGGTTCAATCTCACCAATCATTCTTAATTGAAATTAGCAAAACGTCTTTGTTTTGGCAGATTTCTTACACCTTATCTTTAAAAAAAAAAAAAAAAAAAAGTTCACTTAATCTTTTATAAAAAAAAAAAAAGGTTCACGCACCAATACCATATTAAGTATGTGCGTTTATAAATATACAAAATATCACAGGTGATGAACACATAACGTGCTTTTTCGTAGACGTCAGGTGCTTTATATTACATGCTGTACTGTGGTTTTTACCATCCTTGAAATAAGATTTATTTAATGAGATTTGTAAATCACCATGAGTAATTATGAATCATTCATGCATTGTACACTGTCCATTCATAATTTGTTGTCAATTTTCGCCATTAACAATGTCATTATTATCTCATTAGGTAATACCCTGTTTACAAGTAAGATTATAAAAATGCATCGGGACTTAAAGCCGGGAACTCACTGCGTCTGACGTCGTCGGCCGACGCGATTCTATAGAGAACATAACGCAACGATGCCGCGCAGCGCATAATAACGATCCTTCAGCGTGCCACCGAAAATCAGCAGGCGGGTTGCGTCGTGTAGCGCTCATATGGAGTTGAATTCGTCGGCCGACGGTCGTGCTACAGTTGTACGACCGCCGTACGACGCAGTGTGTGACCGCCCGCCATTACTCTGCACAAATGACTAGGTTAGACTGAGTGTACCTATTTTGATCTTTCAAGAAAACATGTCTCATTTGCTCGAGATATTATTCTAATGTGGTTATCGATGAATATTGCCATTAGGGATATTAATTATTATTATTAATAATGTTTATGTTATTCGTTAATAGATTCTGAGCAATCACAGGGAGACTGATATAAATTTAACCGGAGATGCTGGCCAGACACCTCTTCACTACTGCGCGGTTAAAGATAATATAGAGACAGCCAAAATACTGGTAGGCCTAACCCTTTTGGTCGTCTTCGTTCGTCGTTTCTTATTCGTTCGTTTAAATATTGATGTTCTCTAATTATATATTACCTAAACATGCGAAGTTCTGTTCACAAAATTAATTTACGTTACTATTGGTATTTATTCAGATTAGAAAAGAAGCCAAAATCACTATACCAGACGCTAATGGGATGTACGTCTTACATGCGGCAGCGACTCACGCATCGTCCAGGGTGCTAGACCTATTGTTTAAGGAAGGTACGATAAACAAGGCCTAAACTAAAGTTAAATAACATTACAGGTCTCTCTTCAGTAAAAGACCACTTTTGGGACCAGGATTTTAGCAGACTTTAACAGCATTGGTCTCTAATTAGAATCCCTTTAATTAAAGACTGGCACTCTGAATGTCGTCTTTATTTATCTCTGTTTAGAGTGAAATTAAAGAATGATATAGTAAATTTAAGATTGTTTAATCCCAAGTATTTTTAGAATGGATGTACAGTTACTGTATGCTGTTAATGATTCTTAATAATATACCATTTTCCGGTAGTCACATATCAATGCGGTCCTTCTACCCACTCACCATTACATTACTAACAACACCGTCCTACTAATTCAATATAGAGCACTGTAGGCCTATGCATCATTTTATGTTGTGTATTATTTGGATGTATATCTATCATCATATCATTATCATATTTAAAAAAATACTATAAGTTTTAACATTTTTAGCAGTCTGCCAAAACCATGAAAATATACATTACCAGATGTTTGAATGTTTTGCTCCAAGTGTTTTAAAATAGATTACTGCACGCTGTTAATTGATTGTAAACCATTTCTAGGTAACCACACATCAAACCCTGCGTTCGTGTTCCACAAATGTCCATTTAATTAGAAATATACAAATTTTCAACGTCCTACTAACACTATTGGTAATCATCACATAACATCGGCTTTTGATTATTTTGATGTCTATAGTCTGTAAAAAAGAAAAGAAAAAAGAATTACTGCACTAACACTACTATATATTTTAAAAGTAGTAAAACATTTACAGTTTGGTCTGTCAAATCATGGTCTTTTGATGTTTAGAATTCCTATAAAGACTCAACAGGAGTCCCAAGTTGGGAGAATCCACATCCGGGAGATCTGTTTAAAGGAGTTTTCTTGAGATAATTGATAATACAGTAGTAAAAACTTGTAAAAGTATGCAAATGTCATCATGAATTTGCGGGAGATGGTTTATTTCGAGAGATTCTTACTTGCTTGTATGGGAGTGCAGGATATACTGTTACTGCATGCTGTTATTAATTCTTAATAAAACATTTCATTGTAGCCAGACATAACTCGTCTTTTAATTACAATATTACTAACATATGCCACTCAAATTATCATTGTTCAATGTACGGTACACGAAACACTGTACATAAAACAGTGCATTGGCTTGTATGTGTAAGTCACATATAACACAATTTATTATAGAAAAATTACCATTAACTTCACTATATATTTTATAGTTGTCCTTAATTGGAGGGAAAATTTTTATTTGGGTGCGCCAAAACCATAGTCTTTGGTCTCTAAAGCGGTGGAATCATAATTAGAGGGAACAGCTATGATAAAAGACTTTCATCCGGGGCCGCAGAAATGTAGTCGTTAATTTGAGGAGTCTTTAATTTGAGGGAGACCTGCGCTTTTAAGTTATTAATAATAATTACTTTAAAAATATAAGATATAAATTGCGCCATAACTAGCTTAATACTGTAAGGTCTGTCTAAGAACTATCTTTTTATCGTTCACTCAAGAGAACGTGATCATGTAAAATTATGTGCCATCAAGCTTGTTCTATGCACGTAGCCTACGTTATAAATGAAAATGGAATAATTCTTGTTAAAGACAGAAATTTTACATTTAAGGCGAGATTTTTTTAATGCTTTCTTTAGCGAACTGAAATTTTCATTTTTTGTTCGTGGCGGAGGGTACGCTAATTGGCTAAAAGCAAAATTTTATTTTTAATTGAAATCAGCATTATTGGCGATCGGAGGGCTTGCTAACAAGGTATACAAAAAGACTCGATTAAAGAAAGGCAATTGTTTTTGTTATCTTGCTTTTGTTTACCTACATCAAAATTGCGTTGCGTTGGGTTGACAAAACATGCATGATGATAATTATTACTACTAAGAACTATTTAATAAAGGGAACTATGTCCTAAATTTCCCTATGCTCAAATAGGTAATGGGCTGGCTCTAACTGAAGGAAATATTACATTGGAAAACTAATTCACACGCAATGCAAGAACTTTTAATGCTATTTTATTTTACAAACAAAACAAAACAAAACAAAACAAAACCATAAAAGGCTAAAAATCTGTCAAGGTTGTAGGTGCAGATTTTTAATGTTCTTTAATCAAAGTTCAACCACCTCAATATTCGTCTTAAACTAAAAAAAATAGTCAAAACTTTATAAGCATATGCCTATTATGTTAAAACTCGGATGAATATTTTTTTTTTATAAACTATTAAACAATATAAAATTATTCAAGAACCATTTAAAACCCATATAATATAGTACTTTATTAGTGTTAACATTTGATTGTATTTTGGTAAAATAGGGCATAACATTAATAGTTAATTAATACCAATTTAAAAGAGTATATGCTGTAATACATTATTAATGTAATATTTGATTGTATTCTGTTAAAATAGGGCATAAAATTAATATATATATATAAATAATAATAATGATTAACCTTGCTGCCGCATCTTAGACATAGTATCAGTGCCTGTACCATCTTTTCAGGAGAGAAAGCTGGGTGTACCAGGATGAGCATGCTGTCCCTTCTGGATAAAGAACAGAATTCAGCCCTCCACTGTGCGGTCAACGGCGGCGACATTAATGCTGTCAAACTATGTCTGGATTTTGGTGTATCTTTGGATGTGAAGCAGGTAGGCCTAGCTTTGATTCGATTATTATCAATGAATTCATTATAAAACGGCAAAAACATTGATATCCCGAATTAAACACTAGTCCACCGAGCAGGACCAGACTTCTGAATCAACTATTGTTTTTTTTTTCAAATCAAATTAAAGCTTTACATCTAAAATAGTTCGTATTTTAACAAAGCCAAAATAACTGTAGAATTTTTTTTTTGTTTCAATTTTGTTAGTGTTTGTCGAGACAGTCTCAGGTTTTAACAAAGCACAAAAGGTATACACATTTACAATGCTAACCTTTCATCTGTGTTATCTAATTGAGGAGATTTAAATGGCAAAATAACAGTTTATGGCACTGACGCATGATTTACTCCCGGATGTTGCGGCGTTTGACCTGGTTTAACAAATCAAAATGATTTTGATTGTAAAATGAGCTAACAGTTTTGCTTCAGTTATAATAATGATAAAAAAATTATATAAAATATTTTTTTTTTTCGGTTATCATGGAATGGGAAGAATTGAATCTATGAAAATTCTTATAGGATAATTATTGTATTTTGATACAGCGAACCCAATCAGGCGTTGGAAAAAAAGAAATCAAATAATACAATTTTGCAAAATATTTATTTCACACACAAACCTATACTAAATAACATTAAAAGAAGCTATCATACTGTGGCGCTCTTTACTAAAATAGATGTTATTCACATTATTAAAAAAAAAAAAAAAACAACAACGAATAAGAAGTTCTACAATTCTATAAATTGGGCTAGACCTACTGAAAGTGAGGGTGCAGACCACGTCGACACTGAGATGCGAACATTTTTCAGTATTTATTACCTCTGGGTTCCTGGAAAAACTTAAATTACCAGAATTACTGGTAACCATCATATTAACTTAAAACCAGGTATTAAACCTTTTTCCAATCTACTGAGATTATAGGGGCTAGCCGACATAAATTGTGTAGTTCCGTTTTTTTTTTTCCAATTTCACTGCTACATTTTGCTGTTATATCAGCTAATTTTTAAAAAATTCAAGCGAAGTATTTGACGGACTAATGTGAAGCGTTTTGTACTTTAATGAATACTGACAGAGTATTTACTGACACGTGACCTATAGTAATCAACCATGCTAATTAAATGGTAAGTATATAACGTGTACGATAATCCTTTATAAATAAGAGCCATCACGGTAGTGCTATGCTCAACAATTACTGATTGCTTTTAGAAAGTTGTCACTTTCGCTTAAGGAGACGGCGTCACAGTTTGTTTAATTTCAGTTGTTGTTTATGCATAATCCTTATCTCAGTCACATCCGTACTTATACGTCCAGTCATTAATGTTATTATTACAATTAAGATTATAATAATTAATATTATTGTTGTAATCTTATCGTTATCATAATCATTACCTCATTTGTTATCATTATCCTTATTCTATACTTTATCATTATTAGCATTATCGTCGTCGTCATCATCATCATCATCATCATCATCATCATCATCATCATCATCATCATCATCATCATCATTATCATCCATGATATTTCTCAACATCCTCATCATGACAATGATGATTTTAATAACTACAATGATAACGATAATAATAATAATAATAATAATTATTATTATTATTATTAATATTGTAGAGAAAATCTTGCATAAATAAGTAATATTAGACATGCATGATCCAATTTGCCTTTTCTGTTCATTAGTTGCTTATGTAATCCAACGGTGTAATTCGGGTTATATTCTTTGATGTACAGTTCAAAAGTTCTCCATTTAATTACTCTCTCCTGGGTAAACTAATTTCTATCATTTATATTCCTCATCAATTTTGCAAAGAGTGATTAGGGTAATTGACAGAAAATTCATTTGCAAAATGAGAGAGGCAGAAAATCTAATTTCGTGTACAGTACATCATTTTCGAAATATCGGTGTTTGTCTTTTACTTGACCTGTACCAGATCAGCGTGTTTGTGATTAATATTATAATTAAGCGAGTTTTTCTTTCATATCATTCTGTAAATTGTAGTATTAATGACTCCAAAAAACAATATAATATGCTTATGATAATGAAAATATGTATTGGTTTTAATGGTGGCAGTCGATGCCATTGCTGACATCATAGTAACGTACAGTAGTAAAGGAGAGTTATGATGTAGGCTTAAGTTATATTCCATCTTTAAAGTAGGTCTGTTATGACCAAAAAGTCGTAAATACAGTACCCATAAAAATACAGATTAAACTATTATTTGACATTAGGTTCAGGTATGCTTTGTGGTGTATATAATTAGACTTCACTACAGACTCCTGTGAAAATACCAAACTTTAAAATACGTTGGGCGATTGTCATGAAATGATAACTCAATATTGAACTAAGATTGGTTTATTACAAGGGTAGTTAAAGTTTAGTATAAAAATATTGTTTACTACTGTTGAACGCGAACCTTTAAATATAAGTTAATTTCAGTAATTTTCTTGTGATGTGTTTCAATGCTGTGCAATTTTGAGTAATGCTACCGTACCAATTGTAATTGTTGGAAAAACCAAGCTGAGTTTATTTACCAATATTGTCATCATTGTTTGTACTACAGATGATAGATGTGGGGTCATACGTTTAAAGCCTGCATAACTTGACTTAAAACGTTATTATCTCAACTATACGACAATCATTATCAGGTCTAGACGTAAATCGTAATGGGAATAATTGCAAATATGGACCAATAAGTCCAAATTTTTGCATTTTCAACTGCATTTACGATCAACCTTGTATAGAAATGATATTTTGAAAAGAACGCCATAAAACCTAATATTTAGTATATTAATGTTTGTAAATTTAATAACGGCATTCGATACGGTAAAGTGACTAGAGGTTGTTGTGATCATTTGTTGGCTATCTATATTGCTATATTACTATTATTATTATTATTATTATTATTATTATTATTATTCACTTTATTCAAAAATACACGTAAAATCTTGTTACAATTCGTCGCCAAATGCCAAATTGTTTGCAACAATTACAATTTTTTTTTTTAAATCATTCAAATGAAAATAATTCTTTGGTATTAGAATTGTTATTATTTCTATTAAAAACTCTTTATGGGAAAATGTTGCAGGCCTAAAAAATTACTACGGTTTCGAGAAAACGTACATTCTATTTACAATACGCGTTAATCAATTCACCGATGTCCAAGTGCTTACGATTTTGCGTCGACCTTACATGCGATATAATCACTATGAATTTTATGACAGCTTTTATTATGCGCACAGTCATATTGAAGTGATTTTGCAAGATTTAAATTAAATCCCGAGCAACTGAGGTAAATACACTTTATTATAACGCCCTTATTACGCGAAAATGTTTAATCACGAGATTTAAGTCAATTAAACAAGTATACGTATGCACTTTATGATACATTCACTCCCACCGCCGTTATTAGGCCTGTTCCTACGCATATTCTATTGTAATGGAGTAGTAGACCTGGGTGTTATTGACGCGTAATATAACTACTCGGTAGTGTGTACATGGTTTGTTCACATTTAGCTTGTTGAGCCTCCTCAAAGATTTGATTAATGCCTTGTGCTTTTGTAAATGTACTTTATAAAGAGAGATATATAGACGCTGATTCTACTCAAGAGCATCAAATGAAGCGCATTCAGTAATTAAATTAAGAGGATCACGCCCACATAAAGAGAACGTCTTATTAACTATGCATTACGTACGTATTTTAGCAATTGTTGTAATGGTTTTCTTACAATTTGGTCCTATATTGTTAAAGAAACCTAATATTTTTATCGGGGTTTGAACCCAAAACCACCCAAGAACAGTTTAGATGTTCTACAAATGAGTTATTTTCAAATTAGAATATGGTCTTGTTTTGCATAAATTACTAGGGTAATATATTATACAAGAACTACTACTTCTTCCAGCGTCCCTGCAAACTTAACTATCATTTTAGCTGCCTACAGTATCCTTCTATATTATATTGTTTCCATTGAACAGAATAATGAATCTGTTCATTAAAATACAGGTCTCCCTCTAATTGAAGACCCTCCAATTAAAGACAACCTCCAATTTAAGACCACATTTCTGTGGTCCCATTTTAACAAATGTCTTTTATCTTTATTATTCTAATTAGAGACTAAAGCAGCTAAACACCATGAAAAAAACGCTGGTGTGTTTCATCCATCCTAATAAACATACCCAAGCATTAACCATATATCAGACACTTTCTGAAAGTGGACTCGTTTTGTAGACTGTTTTTTTTAATGAGTTTTAGTAACAGTTTTACTTTTACCATTATAGCTTGAAAAGAACTATAGAACTCCCACTGACGCGGGAGACTGCAAAAGATAATTGTTCATTTCCATGCTAGTCTACCATCCTTGCCAACTAATTAAGAATCTGAATTCTTTCTGTAAAATATGACTTGATGTTTTGAACCGTTGCTAAACTACCCTGGCAAAAATGTTGAAATGCCTATAGATAGCTACTGTTCAGAAATGTCTCATCGAAGTTTGATAAAAACAATCTGTTGAACTACCGGTACACTACGAAAATCTGTGCTACGCATTACGTTTAGGTCGGCCAGCAAATACATCGTCATCCCTATTACAATCCGTCGAAAAAGAGCTCGTTTAAGTAGCTTAATCTTGCTTTTATCAGCAATCCGTAACCAGAGGTTTCAAACACAGTGTGAGACAATCCAAGCGTGGACTTATAGTCATTTTCTTTTAAACATAGGTCGACATTATGCATAGAAAAAATTTACATGTAGAATGGGTCTTCATTAATATTTCTACGCATAAAGTTTGTCTACCTTTTAGACTATGTTTGCATTTATGCATTGGTTATGGATAAGTATACAAGGATATTAAGCCTACTATGAAATACAGGAAGTTTCCTCTTCTCAATTTCAAAGCAAATAACATGAATTGAGATTTGTTTTTGCATATTATGTCACATGGTGTACAGAAAGTATATAATAATTATTATTGTCAACTCACCCTGCAAAAGTTTGCTTTTATTTTTTATTTTTAGCTGTTAATTAAACTTACTACATGTAATACCAGAATTATCTGAAATCATATAGAATCCATTACTGACTTCTGTATTTACAAGGGATGTACATTACCTTCATTAAATTTCCTACTTATTGTGATGTGTTTAGTATACCCATTTTAATAATGTTGTTTGTTGGAAAGTCAACACTGTTTTGTTGAGTTTGGTGGTCAATTTCATCTCAAATAAACAACACACTCTAAGTGTTGTATCAACAAGCTAGCATTTCTCGTCTTAATAACCCGCGTCATCAGTTTGCGGGCGATTATTGATAAATGCGTTTTACGACTCAAGTACTCTGATTACCTTTATCCTTCTCGTATATGCAAAACCAGTTATATTTATCATTTATGTAATTTTTTTTCAGGATGACGGTTCAACACCTATCCATCTTGCTTGTTCTTTAGGATGTCTAAACATCATGAAGCTCATGCTTGAAAGACAGCCAGGCAAGCATCTGCTTGAGATGAAAGACAGCCAACATCAAACACCGATACACAAGTGAGCAAAGTGATAGAGTAACTGCAATTAAACCATTACTCATTCAATGTAATAAGAAATCAATCAGTCAATCGATCTCGATTGATCAATCAATCAACCAATCAATCAATCTGTCAGTCAATCGATCTCGAGTGATCAATCAGTAAATCAGTTAATCGATCTTGATTAATCAATTAATCAATCAATTAATCAATCAATCAATCTCGAGTAATAATCAGTAAATCAGTCAATCGATCTGTATAAATCAATAGATCTTGATTAATCAATCAATCAATTAATACTTTGATCAGTCAATCAGTCAGTCAATCAAACAACTAATAATAATGTATATTTGTATATCACCGTTATTATAGATTTTTTAAAAACAAAATGAAACGTGGCTTTTTATATCAAATTTCGCAGAATGCTCAATTTTACTAATGTGATAATTTTTTCAAAACACAGTCACTATTCACATCTTGAAACAAATCTTAAATAGCATTTGAATGATGGGAATTCAACTACAGAAATACAGGATATAGATTAACAATTGACCTCCAATAGTCCTATTTCTGCTATTTTAAACTAATTTTATTCATACTGCAGGGCCGCGATGTTTGATCATGAAGAACTTGTAAGATTTCTGATTAATGAGGTAAGGTTACTTAACACAACGAACTTTAAAATCTAATTAGTCTACATTACAAATACTATTTTATAAAGTTATTCAATCAGTAGCTGATCTGCAGATTAGGGTCAATATATTATTAGCATGCCATCTTTAAAAACAACCGTTAATAAATTTGCCACTCTGTAAACCAGATGAAGCAACAGATGTATGTTATAGTTTATTAACATTCTAGGCCAAAACAGGATGGATAATTAATTGTGTTTATAAATACTATCATAGCTTAAAATACTTTACAAATGAAATATAATATAATTAATTGTATATTTATTGCGCTATATTTAATAATGTCTTATTTTATTATTGTATAAGATACTGTAACAATTATAATCCTCAGATATACAGTATGTTTAATTTATTATTCTCAGAAAGTAATAGGCCTAATTTTGTTATGCAATATTAAAATGTAATAATAATAATGTTGAAGCAAGTTAAATGCTTTTTAAAACTGTTTAGTAGAGGTCTTCTAACTCAACAATCAGTTTATGATTAATATTCCAAAATTTTTTTTTTTTTTGTAAAATACAAATAACTAAATATAATAATGTTCATTTTATTTATAGTTTTAAAAAACACAATTTTTCCCCAGGGTTCGAATATAGATCCGGTAGATAAGCACAACCGCACTCCTTTGCTATTGGCAACTGCACGCGGTGGTTGGCGAACAGTGCGCCTCCTACTGTCACGTGGTGCAGACTATAATCGTGTCGACGGGCAAGACAGGAACATACTGCATCTTACAGCCATTAATGGCGCCGGTCCACTTTTCTTTGGAAAAGAACTATTTAAGGTGAGGTACAGGTAGATTATAATAGTGGATGTAAATGAGACCAACTATTTATTTATTTTTAATTATGTATGCTTAGATTTGCATAAACAAGCGTAGTGTATGTCTACTTGCAATCGAATTGTTGTACATTAATTTACATTTACAACAGACAGAAAGTTACAATACGCGAATTTACTAATCATAACGTTAGATTGTGAACAAGTCAGTATCAGATTTACTGCAAAATCAATTCTAACAAACGCAAAATATCTTTACATGATAAACTTTTGGTTCTAATCCAAGTCTGTTGAACAGTTGTCATATTAGTCATCAAGTATTAGGTCAACCATCAATGATATTTCCTAATAATAATCTTTCTGCACACAGAAGTTTACATTCACTCGACATTCCCAGGTTACTAGGTTTAGTGTTCCTTGATGAAACAATGCCAATTACACTGAAGTTTTAGTATTGTACTAATTTCTAAATTTGCTTAAAGTGTATAACAATAGCAAACTAACGGGGGTTGTTAATCTATTTAACCTAATCAATTTCAATTCATATCTCTATCAGTTCATGTTTGAAAACGAAGTTAACTTACAAACTAATTAAGGAACTATGAAGGATATTCCAATCAGCGAAATTTAATTATAACCGAATGTACAGAATCCTATCGATAAAATAAGTTATTCGGAAGTTGGTATCTAAACTTTTAATATGCAAGTAATATATAGCCATCAATACGCATTGAATTTAAACTTACATCACATTAACGGGGAGTTAAATAGACACAATAATTAAAAATGGAGCTTTTTTCACCACTCATTCTCAACTGAGGAGGCTCAGTAGTTCTCGTCGAACGGTAATTAAACTTTCATTTGATTTTGTTTATTTATAACTTCATATTAAGTGAAACAATTAAGTGCACACGAGAAATATTTAAGTTTATTAACCCAAATAAATTTTGATTTATCTCTCGGTTTATTCATTTAAGTTTTGAAACGAAGGTAATTTCAAAACGAATTGAATCTTCAAAAGCAAACTACAACTGAAGGTAATGAGATCTTGACAAAATCAGCACATCACGGTTCAAAAACAATGTATTGGCAATTTAATGGTTTCAAAGGCTTATTTATTCGATTTTAGAGTCTACAAATGTGTAGAAAATTCATAATTTTTTTTCTCCCCGACAAATTGTGCTTTTTCTCCCAGA